TTTTTCAAAAATTCTTAGCTTTGCAAAATGGCTCACTGAGTGACTATTGAAATTGTGCTCTCCTTGGGATGCTAAAGTAGTATCCCATCCAAATAGCTTCAACTTGTGGCATACAAGTGCTTCTGAAATTGTAGGTGAAATCTTAGAGCACTGTGTGTGTGTGTGTGTGTGTGTGTGTGTGTGTGATTATACAAGAGAAATGACTTTTGTTTGAGCTACACAAGGAACATGAAATGAACAACTCTACAGCCTTAAGACATTAGATTATAGACCTTCTTTTTAAAGCCAACTAGATAAGAGATTTTTCAACTTCAAGTTTGTTTTATTGAAATATTTTTTTTTCAAAGCCAAGTTTTTCATTGAACTTTGTGTTTTTTGCACCTGGAAACTGGGTTATTGGATTACAGTTAAGTCTTCATGGCTTTACTGACTTTTCATGAGTGTTGGGTAGTACTAAACCAATAGGCCAGTTAAATGTAAACATTTCTAAGCCTTTTCTTGATAGAGGGGAGAGTTTATCCCTTAGCCAGGAGATTGTGAAGAAAATAAAATTGAATTTTTGTACTTAATTTTAACAGGTTTTTAATCATAACTCTCTTATCATAACTTTCTTATATTAGTTCCAACTTCAAATTGTTATTCTACATGAACATCAATATTGAACATAATAAATATTATGATTTTAAAGAATGATTGCTTGTTTATTCACGTAGTATACGCAGTATTTGGAGATTTTTTTTTGGGCCCACACATGTTTTTCTCTGAACCACGCTTTGATAATATGATTATATTTTCTAGAGCTGTTGCAAATTAATCATTTTTTGTTATGCTCCTTCTTTTATAAGAAGTGTTTGTTTAACTAGCCATATATAAACGAGTTTATTTTGAGGATTCACTTTGATGTGAATAACTGCCTTCTAGTTAAATGTTTTAAATCCCATCTCTTAGAAGAAAGTAGCCTCAGAATGTTTTTTTCTTTTTTCTTTTTTTTAAGACTTTAAAATTAACCATGTAACATAAAAAAGTTTGTAAATGCATGAAGATAAGGACTATATCTTACACATCTTTGTATCCCCCACAGCCTCACACATTGCAGATTAATTCATGCTTATGCAAGATTTAAAGAACATAAAGTGATATAGAAAAAAAAAACAGACGAACTATTTGCTTTGAAAGTGACTATATAAGGATCATCTCTAAATTAGCAAACGGGATAGATAGACATTTTCCTGTCCTCTTCCCATCTCTCCCCAACCCCTCACCCAAGGAGTGCACCCAAGGGCACATACCCCTTTGTGCCTTGTATCTGCTATTTTTATATGCATGAGAAGAAGCAGGCTCAGACCTGCTGAAGGCTGGAAAATATAAGGTCATATCCAGCCACTGGGTCCTGTTTTCTCATTCTTTCATTCTTTTAAAATACAAAGTTATCTGACATACTATTCTACGTTTAGCTAAAAGTTGCTCAGTAACATTTACAGAGGCCCTAAGGTATTGGCCGGTGTGTTAGATGGTGTAGGATATTGTCTTTGCTCTGAGGAAGCGCAAAGCATGGCTGGACCACGCACATGGAACCCGATGCTCTCTGATGTCATAGATCCTGTTATACAGAGAGGATAAGGCACCGTAGAGGGACAAAGGGCGGGTGAGTGACTTCTTCCTCAGGGTCAGGGAAGCCAGGGGCAATGGTGTTGGATCTGAGCTGAGATGAAGAGGAGTTTTCAAGATGGGCTAGTTGACGAGAGGCCGTTTAGGGCTGAGGGAAGAGCATGGGGAGAGGGGCAGGTGACGAGGTTGGAGAGATGATGCAGGGTCCTCTGTGGTACTTGCGGAAGTCTGGGCTTCCTGCTGCAGGGGGAAGAGAATTAAGCTGTGGTATGACCTAATCAGGTTTTCATTTTGGAAAATCACTCTGATAACCAGGTGGGGGATGAGGAGGTTATTTGATGCTTCCCTTAGTGCTGATAGAACATAAATAGACCAAACATGAAGTTGTCTTCCTCATGGCCTTAAACAAAATTGTACAAAAATCCCAATACATCCACTTTTAGAACAAATGGTTTGTTCTTTGGGTAAGTTATATTTTTATAGTATTTTATAGTATTTTAGTTCGTTGTGTTTATAGTATTTTAATATTTTATAATATTTCAGTACTTTATGTTTAAGAATGACACCTCTTCGGCTCGGGTCATGATCTCAGGGTTCTGGTATCAAGTCCCACATCGGGCTCTCTGCTCCGCAGGGAGCCTGCTTCCTCCTCTCTCTCTGCCTGCCTCTGCCTACTTGTGATCTCTGTCTGTCAAATAAATAAATAAAATCTTAAAAAAAAAAAAAAAAAAAGAATGACACCTCTCTCCCCTGAATGACACCAGATACAACGCCACTTCCCCGTCCCCCTTTTCTTGGTCTCTCGCGTCTAGCCAACAGCTTAGACTTTTCCTTGGTCCTTCTCCTCTCTCTTTCCCTTGGTCTCTGCCAGGAGGTCCAGTGGATTCTGCCTCCAAAATAACATCTCAAATTGCTCTACTTCTCTCTAACTCAGTGATGCCACAGCCTACGCTCGAGCCCTTGGGGTGTCCCTCCCCTGGACATTTCGCCATTCTCGCTCTCTGCTTCAAACACTTCACTAGCTTTTTGCACTTAAAATAAAAAGCGAGCTTCCCATCGTGGCTGCCTCTCCTGGCTCTTTTCTCCCTTGACCTCATCTCTTGACGCTCTCCTTCTGCCCCAGCTGTTACTTGCCCTCACAGTGGCCTGCAAACACTTACTCTTTTCTTCCAAGAAGCTCTTAGAGTTTGGTGCCTGGCAAATACTCCATGAACTTAATAGCATAATGATATCATAATAATAACACTTTCTGCCATTTATTGAATGTTTTCTGTAACCCAGACAGTGTGCTAAGTGCTCTCCAGTCATTACCGTATAATTAAATTAGATCCAACAAGCTTGTGAGGTTGGTATTATTATTCCTGTATTTCAGGAGAGGAAACTGGGACAGATTGCTGAAGCAACTCGCCCTGTTTTCAGTGTGTGGTGGAGTCTGGCTTGAAGTCTGTCTGTCTGACTCCAAATTGAGCTCTTCGGTATGAAGCTGCAAAAATATTTTGTTAGCGTTAAAAATTTACAATTCCTGGAAGACAGTCTCAGAGCAAGCTATGGGGAAACTCTCATTGACATTGAAAGTAAACATTAATATAATTTGACTACCTTATTGGCGACAACACATTTTTCCCAATATTTAAGTCTTGTTCATAATAGAAGATGGCATAGTGTAGAAAGTGGGAATAAACTCTGGAGTCAATCAGACGTGAGTTTTAGTACCTGCTCTTCATTCATACAGATCTGAATTTCATGTATGCTAGATAATGCTTTGGGCACTTGAGATCAAAAGTGGGCAATCCAGTGGGATGGATTTAAAATTTTGGTTCTATGAGCCGTTTTTGTCCTGGAAGCTCACCATCACATTGATGCTCCTTTAGGAATTCAATATAAATGTGACCCCTCTTGGACCCCATCCCAAGGGGATCCGTTTGAGTCAGTCCCGTGACATGTCTTCTAAGGACAATCTCAGAGGAAGACTGTATGTTTAGTTTGCCAGAAGTGTAGTTGCCTTCTTCCTTCCTTTCTTCTTTCCTTCCAATTAAAATGAAATGTTGAATTTAATTTTATTAGACATAATAAACCCAGGTAAAGTCTATTCGAATAGGGGTGGCACAATAAACATAATAAACATGCATATTACATTATACATTGGAAGAGGAAAGTAAGACCTTTGTGTGAGGGAGTAAATAAGATGAGGGGAAACTTGGAGATCACATTGTGGTATTGAATAAGAAGTCAGTGAGGTGCACCGAGAAGGTCAAAGACTTGAAGGAGGTGAAGGAGTTGGTCAGTCGGGTATCCAAGGGAAGAGCAGCCCAGGAGGAGAGAGTGGGTGGTGTCCAGACCTAAGAAGAGCATGCAGGGCCACTTGAAAGCAAAGTACCATGTGATCAGTCAGGACAAAGGGAGGGAGAGATGCTGCATGAGAGCAGGGGTTCTACATATCTTGTTCATAATGAAATGAACTTCATACATGAAGCACTCAGCAGAGGGTCTGGCCCAGAATCACAGAGCCCCTGCCTCCCTTCTCCCGTCACATCTCCTGCCACTCCCTCACTGCAAACCCTACCCTGCATTTATAACTGGAAGTTCTTTGGAGAGTCCCCAAATATGCATGCTGTTTTAAACCTTTCTACTTTTGCACGCACCTAAAATAGGCTTCTCCCTCCCTTGTCATTCTGATAATTGCCTTGTAGACCCACCCCAGGGGAGTCTCCTCTGGGAAGACTTCTTTGCCTCCCTGTGACAGAGCTGATGCTTCCTTCTCTGGACCACCATGCTTAGTGCTTTGACTACGTTTGTTACAATAACACATAGCTAAGGTTAACATTTAATGAGCACTTACTGTATGCCATGCGATAAGTCCTTTCTATGCTTTTGATGTATTCCTCATAATAAACCTATAAGGTATGTCACAGAGTCATCCCCATTTTCCAGATGAAAAATAAAGGCATGAAGAAGTTCAGTAACTTGCCTAAGATCATCCAGCCACTAAGTGGTGGCATCGAGAGGTCAACAGGAGGTTTCTGGCTCCAGAGCCCACGGTCTTAATCATTACATTATATTGCCTCTTTATGTTTTCCACCATTATTGAATACTTCCTATATACAAGGCAGGGTACACATCATGTGGAATCATATTAGTTTGGTGCATGTGCCTCCCGTATTACTTGTGACTACTTGAAGGGTAGAGAACCATGTCAGATTTTACCTTTGTTCATGAGGCTTTGCGCATGTGCTCCCTTGGTTGGACAGAAAGAAGAAGACAATTTCTCGTGTAATTCCTAGGACCTGGGAAATGATATATAAAATACCGCTGGGATTGTGTCATTAATTCTGAATTTTATTTGGTTCTGAATTTCATATTAATCATGTTGTTGGCCTTCTGTTTCTCCCCAGACCAGTATTAAAGAGGGACAGCTGTTGAAGCAAACCAGTTCCTTCCAACGGTGGAAAAAGCGTTACTTCAAACTTCGAGGCCGTACACTTTATTATGCAAAGGACTCAAAGGTAATTTGGAAGAATATTGCTCGCAGGCGCTTGAGGTTGTGGATGGATTAAAAGTTTTAGTTCTATGAGCTTTTCGTCTTGGTGCTCGGTAGAGGTTTACTGTTCTGCAAATTCGGTATGCATGTGATCCGGCTTGGACCAAATCCCAAGGGAGTCTATTTAAGTCCATTTCATGGTGTCCATAGAGGATGATCCTCTGGGAAGGTTCTAGCATAGTATTCTTTCTTCCCTTCCTCTTTCCTTACAATTAAAGTAAAACATTAAATGTAACTTTATTAAATGTAATAAGCTGAAAATTTTGAGTTTCCCCTCTCTACCTTTTGCCTTCTACATCTTTCCCTGACCATGACAGAGAGTGATTTGCTAGAGTGACTAAGAAGTTGTCCTCTGGTTTCAGATGAGGGATTGTATCCTACTTCCAGCACATTCCCCTGGAGCGGCTGCAGGCAGTTTGTGTTGTACCGAGTAGGCTTCAGTGAGATAACACACATGGTACCTGACACAAAACAATCACTCAGTGATGCTAGTAGTTAAGAATAAAAACCCTAGTGAAGTAAAATCAAGGCTTTAAATAATTTTTATGTAACAGTTGAAGAAACTAAGAATGATGTGGTTTGGGAAGAAAACAATTAATAATGACGAGCTTCCATTTAAGACTGATATCTTAGTGTTCCTTCGAAAGTAAACATTGAGATTTCTGGCTACTGTATCGGTTGAATAATTGATAATTTCCCTATTTTAAAAAAATGTATGTTCCTGATATAATTAGTAGAGTTATACGCTGGGAGGTAAAATCAAATATGCAAACCAACGTAATTCTTAGTTTATGCGGCTGTACAAGTAATAACCAAATAAAGTAATCTCATTTGAAAAGTCGTTAAGGTCAAGGTTGTCCCTGATCTGGCTCCATGCCGCCTTTCTCCATTTGTCTGTTGGCAGCACTGACCACTTGATAGCCTTGGCCTTGCCCCACGTTTACCATCTGCAAATGACCTTCCCCTCCATCTCTACTTGATGAAATTCCCTGTTTTCCTTAAGATCCCCTCAAAAGGTCTTTATTCCATCATTCACAAGAGCAAGAGTTTGAATGTTTTCTGCAGGGGAAATGATCCATGACCTTCCATAGCATTCTGTAGTATTTCTTCCCTTGCATTTTCAATAGACCATCTTATATTACTATTAGTCGTTATCTGTTTCTTCCCCTGCGCTAAATTAAAAATTCTTTCTGGTTGGGGAGCAAGTCTGATAGTCATATTGGTTGGAGTGAAGTGGACTTGCATACCCCCCAACCCCGCCAGGGATCTTGGGGGTGGTGTGGAAGCTATCAAAGGACCCATTTTCTTTCTTTCTTTCTTTTTTTTTTTTGGTAAATTTATTTTTATTTAATTTTTATTTAAATTCAATTTAGTTAACGTATGCTATGTTATCAGTTTCAGAGGTAGAATTTAGTGATTCATCAGGTGCATATAACATCCAATGGTTATTATAAGTGCTCTTCTTAACGTCCATCACTCAATTAACCCATCCTGCCACCCACTTCCCCAGTAGCAACCCTCAGGTTGTATCCTATAGTTAAGAGTCTCTTATGGTTTGTCTTCCTTTCTGATTTCATCTTATTTTTCCTTCCCTTCCCCTATGTTCATTTGTTTGGTTTCTTAATTTCCACATATAAATAAAATCATGTGGTATTTGTCTTTCTTTGACTTATTTCACTTAGCATAATACCCTCTAATTCCATCCACGTCATTGCAAAAGGTAAGATTTCATTCTTTTTGATGGCTGAGTAACATTCCATGGTATGTGTGTGTATACACAACACATCTTCTTTTAACATTCATCTGTCACTGGACATCTGCACTCTTTGCATAGTCTGGCTGTTGTGGACATTGCTGCTGTAAATATTAGGATGCATGTGGAAGGGGCCCCTTTTCTGGAGTTTCTAGAGGTGCTTTGTTACCCCTGCCTTGCTGCAAGAACATCAAATGAGTGTGAACAATGACCAAATGACTGACAGTGGAAAGGATACATTTATTTAGTAGAATTTTCTAATCTCTAAATCGAACAGTATTAAAGATTCCCTTTCTGTGGAGTTTTTATCATGGAAACTTTTTGATTGAAAACACTTTTAAGAGTATGAATGAAACATCATTTTATATTTGCAGAGCACACTTATCTTCTCATTCAAACCCATTTATGGACGAGGAAAATAAGTCTCAGAAAGTTTAGTAACTCACCACAATTCGAGCCAGGACTAGTTCTCATTTCTCACTGAGCAGATGTGGGAGTGATGACATTGCCTCTGCCTTCCTGGCAAAGTTGTTCTAGGCTGTTGCCTGTCAAGCAGTATAACTCTGTGTGTGTGTGAGTGTGTGTACACACGTGTGTGCGCATGCACGCATGTGTACGCACACGCAGGTGCACAATACACTGAGGAGGCTCCTATAGATTATGCTTCTAGAGAGCAGGGAGCATTTTGCATTGAAACTCTGTGCCGTGGGGTTCTTCAAAGACCTTTTCGGTTTGGGATTTATGAGTTAGTTGTACTTTGTGGTTTTACTCTTCCTAAGAAGATGTTGCAGAGACTCACTAACAACTTTTTCTTCATTTTCTATTCCTAATTCCTGACATGGCTTCAGAGTCATGTCCTGATTGGGGGAAAAAAAAATTATTGATGAGCATTGAGTTAGGTTTTCATTTAATGTGTTTGTGTTCTTTTTCATTAACAGTCTCTGATATTCGATGAAGTTGACCTCTCAGATGCCAGTGTAGCTGAAGCAAGCACAAAAAATGCGAACAACAGTTTTACGGTATGGTTATATTCTGCTGAATTCCTTCTCAAAAGTTACAGAAGGACCTTTCCTAAGTGTGTACAGAGTGTCTTCTTCAGTTACCAACCCTGTGTCAACTTACACATGTGGGAGTTCCTGCCGACACAGTAAACTTGATAAGTATGTTGTATACCCAGTACTGTTCACGATTGTTTGGGTCAAGAAGCCAACATATTAAATGTATTTTCTAAAAATATTTACAACATTTTCCACTTTAGGCCTTTTAATTTTAGTGCTTTAGAATTGTCACCTCTTTTAAATTTAATACTTCAACGAATTCCATTGTTTTGGAATATTCAAGAAGTCTGTTTCTTACCTTCAATCTTAAAAATAATGTTTTCCCTTCTTTTCTACTTTTCTCTGTTGCTGTGGTTCAGGTCTTCATTAAGTCTCATATAAGTGATTCATTTGATGGTTACTTAAGTGGTATCCTCTGTTCCAGTTGATTCTTTTCCAATTACAAATCACACTGCTGGAAACACCTCACTGGCTCACTCTTGCCTGTCAAGTTACAGCTGCAGCTCCATCCTCGAATCTTGTGAAATCATACCTCGACATTCTAGTGTTACTGAGACCGTTTGTCCTCTTGTACCCCACCAGTCTGGCATTTCTGTCCGTGCCTGGGCTTTTCCCATTCCCCCTGGCTTGACTCATTTCTCCTCCTCTGGCTGTTGAAATTCTACCAGTTCTTCAAAGCCTGTCTCAGATATCTCATTCTTCTCCTACTTCTTTCATTCAAAAAATACGATTTGAATCCCCACCATGGGCTAGGCACTTGAGCTAAGCACAAGAGATTCGGAGGTGAATAAACAAATTGTTATTTCTCTCAAAATATTCAGAGTTCAGTGAAGTTCCTCCGGGGTAGTTTTTATAACCTCATATTCCTAGGTCCTCTAGGATGACTTGCTCCTGCTATGTTGTTGCCCCCGTCCAAACTCCCAGCCCCTGTTCGAGAAGCCAGCACTGCTGACAGTGGTGCATTTTGTCCCATCTCCCAGGCTTGCCAGGGCAGGGAAGACAGACAGATAAACAAACACAGAGCAGTGCCATGATAGAGGTAAGCGCTGGTCGGGGTGGGGGGTGGAGTGGGGGAGGAAGCAAATGCATTCGGATTTAGCCATATGGATTTACTGGCACGTGGGATAATCCTTGGTGTCCCTCCCACCTCCCCAGGGAGCTTTTTTGTTTGAGGAGAGGAAAACCAAGAATAGAATCCTGGGAAAATGTTAAAATTTAAAGTTTGACCAATCAAGACAGAGCATTCTGAAGTATAGAAGGAGTCTTGGGAGGCGATGATGTTAGGAAAAGCCTGTGGAAGATAGTTTTAGGATGGAAGTTGTTAAACATCAAATACTGTAGAGAGATCAAGTCAAAGAAGAAATGAGAAGCGTCTGTGGAATTTGTTAACTTGGAGGTCATTGGGTCACATTGACCGGAGTGACTTCGGGGAGGGGGGGTGGTTGCGTGCATTAGGCTGCCCCGAAGACCAGGTGGGAAGGCAGAGAAGCCGGGGTGGATTGCTTCTTTGAAAAGCTTGGCTGTTAGGAGAAGGAGAACAAGTATGATACTCAGGCTTCAAGAGAGTTTTGTTGTTGTTGTTGTTGTTCTTTGGATCTGTTTTTAAACCTGGTTTTGAGTGTGTCTGTATGAAGAGAGGAAAAAAATTGTTGGACTCAAAAGTTGAAGCGTCAGGAGAGAGAGGGGAGAATGGATGGAGCATGGGAGCCAGAGAGCATTTAGAGATAAGCATTGACCAGGAGACAGAAAGTTGATGGAGGCAGGTGTGTGCAGGAAGCCTGTTTATTCCAAACCCAAATACTACTGTTCTCTCAGTGAAATTGAAGCTGAAGTCATCTGCTATGAGTCAGAGTTTATTTGGGTTTGGAGTAGCTTCTGTAGAAAATGAGAGTTGAAACTGGACAGGGACCTGGAGTAGATTATGAGTTAGTAGTCTAGCAAAGACGGAGATCAGGTTTACTAATGTACCTAATTCCTATGCCTTTCACATTTTTTTTTTAAGATGGGAAGAGAGAACAACAGCTAAATTGATCCAGGGTTGATGGTTTATAGGGCTTATTGGACAGAAAGACAAAGGCATTGTTGGATATTCGAGGGATCAGTAAGTCATCCATCTTCCCCTCTGTGTTACAAGTTCTTGAGATAAAATGTAAGGAGTGAGGGGCAGCTTATTTGTTGCTGAACAAGATCCAACAACCACTAAATTCAGTGCTTCTGATAAATTGTTGGAGGCCTAATCAGAGTTTCTGATCGATTGTTGCTTCTTTTTCCTTTCTTACAAATGAAGGTGGGGTAGGCTGATGAACCACTTGCCTTCCCCCTAGGGAGTGATCCATAGTCCTCTCCTCTCCGTGGAGACTCATGGGGAAGTGGGCAAAAAGGGTTTCCCCTTGACAGGGATCTAGAATTTAGTCTGATAGTGGGTTCCAAAATTGAAGATTTGAAGGATAGAACAATTTCAGATGAAGACCAGGTCTAAGGTATTGGTGTAGATAAAGGTAAAAGGAAGTGAAAAGCTTGGATTTGAGAGAAGTTATTCAAATCCTTTGTAGAACTCTTTCTTGGACCTCCATGTACATTCAGTCTCTCCTATAGTGCCTTTCTTATTATAAAACTCACTATGTTCTGGGGCACCTAGGTGGCTCAGTGGGTTAAAGCCTCTGCCTTCGGCTCAGGTCATGATCCCAGGGTCCTGGGATCGAGCCTCACATCAGGCTCTCTGCTCAGCAGGGAGCCTGCTTCTTCCTCTCTCTCTGCCTGCCTCTCTGCCTACTTGTGCTGTCTGTCAAATAAATAAATAAAATCTTTAAAAAAAAAAAAAAAGAACTCACTATGTTCTGCCTTGTACTTAATTAGGTACTTACGTTTATTATAATCTCCTTGAGGGCAGAAGACTCTGTCATATCATTTTACCTCAGAGTACCTTATCCGTATTTGTTGATTTAATTAATAAGATGAAAGTTATTTTACACATGAGAAGACTTCTTGTTGAAATATTTTCAAGAGATTTATCCACTCAACCAGATATTATTTCTGAAGTTTTGTTGGACTAGAAATGTGGAGACTAAAATATTAGGCAGATTGCTTAGAGTTTTACAGCAAATGAGTTTGGTAGAACTTTCTAGGGCATACAATAGAATAAGGGATAGGTTTTCAACCAGTAATTGACAATCTTCCCTATCTTTAAATATTTAAATATCCTACCTTTCTGGGTTGCATTGACTGCTCTGCTATTGATACTGTTATTTTGGCTAGTTCATGTCAAAGGTTAATGGTATAGTTTAGTGGTATTACGACTGGAAAATACGGGAATGGCCATATTCAACTTTGCTACAGCTATGCCTTGAAGTCCCTGAGGATGATATGTTGACAGGGGACAGTAGTGAATGGAAAATCTGGGATTAGCAAATGGAAAATAGAAAAGCTATGCTTTGCCTGAAAACCCATCCCAAACTCTATAGTAAAATGGTTTCAGGAGAGCTCGGCAGAAACTGACTTCACATGGGATGTTACTCTGCATTGTTTCCACCACATTCTTTCAGAATGAGTGAGTAACTCAGGTTGGCTGAGCTTCAAGGAAGGGGATAGAGACACCATGAAGGTCGCATCAAAGGATGTGTGGACATGGTTCAGACCTACCTACTCAGTGGTTACTTTTCCTTCCTTGCACAGTCCTGTGCTCCCATCCCTGGAGTTAATAATTATCTTGTTGTTTTGGTTGTCAAAAATCACCTTGGGTACATATTAGTTTTCTATTGCTTTGTGACAAATTACCACAAACTTAGTGACTTAAAAACAACACCCATTTGTTATCTGACTGTTTCTGTTGGTCACACAGCATAACTGGGTTCTTCTCCTCCAGATCTCACAGTGTTGAAATAAACAGATTTTTAAATATAGATAGATATGTATACACACACCCCCCACATCCATGCATATTTAATTACCTTGCATGGGGTGAATTTTGACCTCTGTTGGAGTTTTGGGTTTTACAGGTGTCTTCTACAACAGGCACCCCTGATGGCACCAACAAGATACTGAAAGCATTTTCCGTGCATTAGGTGTCAGTGGTGTGATCAGGGAATGGAAAAGGACAACCCCTGACATCCTAGTTGGTATTTTATAAGCCTTCAGGATTCATTAATATTCATCCCTAATTTATGAGTGGTTTGTGCTCTCCCATAGCCTTGTCTATGATTGTGGCATCTATAATACATTCCTAATTTTTTCCTTCGTTTTTTGAATTATGCATTTCCTTTTTTATTTTACTGATTTCTTCATGATGTTCTGGAGTTCTGTTTTTCACATCAACATTTTTATCTTTAACACACCTCTGTGCTGTAGGCAAATGTGTTCTTCTATTAGACTGGAGAAAAGAATTGATTTTTTTTTCCCCTTGGTCACACTGATGTGCCCTTTGGAAGGGTCCCAGCCCTCCTGATGCTTAATCCAGGGCTCTTCCTTTTCACACAGTGTTCTTTCCATCTGGTTAGTCTTTGCCTCTGTTCTGTCTCTCTTCTCACATCCGCTTGCTCTCTTTGTCTCTTTCTCACTCATCGTGATGTGTATATCCCAGCTTTTTGTGACTTAGTCAGTTGCAGACCTTAGACCATGAAGTGAAGTCAAATAGCGTGGGTTTGTGTGCTGGCTTGGCCCTCTCTAGCTACGTGCCTTTGGACTAATTTGTTAACCCCTGTGAATCCGTGTCCTCTGTAACTGAGGATCGTAGTGGAACCTGTCCCATGGGGTTGTGAGGATTTTAGGGCACTCTAATTCCCTAGCACTGTGATGGGCACATAGAGTTTAGTAAGTGCTAATGGCTGTTATTATCCTGAGGTTATCACCCTGCCTGCTCCCTTCACAGGTGATAGTCTGTTGTCAATTCCTAGTAAGTTGGGGGATTTTAAAGAAGAATATGGGTGAACTTCATCTCGAGAAAACTGTTCACACTGCCTCTCTTT